ACATTATGTTAAGGACAAGTTTGGAGATGAATATCAATTTAGAACGTTGATATATGATGCTAAATTCAAGGTTGGAGAGGAGACACCAAAAGTTATGGCATGGATTTCTTTTCCTAATCTGCTGCCAACATATTTTGTTAAGGAATGCCTTTTTTCATTAGCTTCTGCAGTTGGTAAACCATTACATCTAGACCAAGCTACACTGAACAAGACCAGACCAAGTTGTGCACGTGTGAAAGTATTAGTTGACTTACTAGCTGATCTCCCTAACAAGGTTAGGATGGATATTGTTAATGAAAGCACTGGAGAGATAAGAACTGAATGGGTGAATATCAAATATGACTATCTTCCTAAATACTGCAAAGAATGCAAGCTACAAGGGCATGATCTGTTGGAATGCTGGAGGGTGCATCCTGAGCTTATGGTAAGTAGGAATGAGAAAAACCAGCCTGGTGTAGATAAGGAGAAGAGTAAGAATAACAACCCTTTGATGATTCTATCAAGTGGGAAGGTTGTTGGCAATGTTGGAACTCAGTGGAAAGAGGTGAAAGATAAAAGAAATCAAGCTAAAGATAAGCAGAATGGGGAAGGAACAAAAAATGGGAAGGAAGTAATACCAGTGGATAATCAAGTCTCCATGATGCCTCAGCAGATGCAGACAAACAATAAGTTTGCAGTACTAGAAGTTGAAACAAGTGAAGACAATGCAAACAAACAATTGGCCTTGGTAGAAGAGCAGGTGGTTCAGAATACAAGTGTACACACAAAGGAACCTGGAACTTTGAATCCTACAGCACCTATTTTTATTCCTGCTTCACCTGGGAATGAAAAAGGAAATAGAGGAGGAAACAAAAAGCCAGTAACAGAGCCAGCAGGAAGTTCAACACCAGCAGACAACAACAAACACAAGAGCAAGGAAGTGCCAAAGCACCAAGAAATAAGGAGAACTGATAATCAGAACAAGGAAACAACTGCCTCATGGGTACAAAGAGCATTTAAAGATAATTTAGTTCTCACAAATACATCTGTGCAAGAAGTTCCATCTCAGGATACTAGGGTGGACCTGACACTTGCAAAAGTGACTGACAAGGAGAACCTAGAAGATGCAGAATATGAAATTTTCAAAAGCAAGGAAAGAACAAATTGGAAGGGAGGAAGGATGTGGTCAGATCAAGATGAAGAAGATACAGAAGAAGGAATGATCCCTGATATTATGCCAAGTGAAGAAGAAGATGGTGGAGACAAAGGAGAGGATGAAGATCAAAGTGTAACTGGGAAAAACAAGGAGATAAAAAGGACAGAAGGGCAAGGAGTAAATAATATAGAAGGTAAAGGCAATGATCAGCAACACAGTAATGACAAGGAGAACAACATTGTAGCAGAGAAATCTGCAACACATGGACCAGATAGAAATAGCATAGATCCAGGTGGAACAGAACAGCAGAAGGACATTGATGTCACTGTGAGACATACAATAAGTAATGTCCAAATCACAAAGAAGCAAGAGGGAGAAAATCAGGAAGCCAAAGACCAAGCAGCCAACAAGGAAAGTGATGAACAGGCAATGATTCCCATGCAGCAGAACAACATAGTACAAGTAATTGCAGAGGTAGCAGCTATTGGGCCTGAAGGAAAGGATATGGATAAGGAATCCACTGCTCAGAACTTTCTCAATGTGGCCAGACAAGGGGATTTATCTCCTAGGCATATTGAACAAGCTAAATCAGCAGCAAAGGGAAGAAAGAAACAACCAAAAGACACTCCAGTTGTTCCAGCAGGTGGAGTTCAAACAAGAAGAACACTGTCCAAATCACTCAATCATTAATGGATGCTATCATA